ACTGTACTAGTATAAATAATAAAATCATTCTTTCGCCCCCTAAGTTCTAGAGGGCTTTCAGTCACTCGACTCACCTCTCTTCTCTCTTCTCCTCTCCTCTCTTCACTTGCCCTTGCTCAACAGGGATAACCCTACCAAGAGGAGCTTTTGGAACCTGGTGATTGACATATTCACAAAAAGGTTAGCCTCTTGGAAGAAAAACTACCTTTCTTTGGGTGGTAAGATAACTTTGATTAAGTCAACCCCGGCAAACCTTCCGGTTTACTTACTGTTTGTGTTTAGAATTCCTGAGGGAGTATGTAGGATTTTGAAAAAATTAATGAGGGATTTCTTATGGGAACCAGGGGAGGAGAAAATGGACCATAGAGTTAGGTGGGACTTGATTACAAAAGCCAAAAGTGATGGTGGACTGGGTTTGGGAAACTTACAGAAGAAGAATGAAGCCCTTTTGGGGAAATGGTTGTAGAGATTGAATAAAGAAAGGGAGAATTTGTAGGCTAAAATAGTCCTAAGTATTCATGGGCAAGAGGCTGGTGGCTGGGATACGGGGATCTCATCTAGGGCTATAAGGGCTTCTCCCTGGAAGTCTATTCATGCCATCCTTCCTTCTTTTCTTCCTTTCATCAAGTATGACCTCTGTTCTGGTATGTCTGTGAGATTCTGGGAACCTATTTGGGTGGGTGACACTCCTTTGAAAGAGCAGTTCCCCTCTTTATTTTCTCTCAAGGTTTAAAAATGAGCCTGTAGCCACCTTTCTTACCTTGTCTAATTTTGCTTTTAATTGGAATCTGGGTTTTAGAGTGGCTCTTAGAGATTCTGAATTGGAATCCATTTCTAACTTGCTTAAGATTCTGGAGGAGGTAGTTATTGACCCCTCCAGAGTGGACAGTAGGGTGTGGTCTCTTGTTCCATCAGGTATTTTCTCTTTATCTTCTTTTTTCAAAGAATTAACATAGTCCAATTTGGTCCTTGGTTCTCCTTTTCCAGTCTCAGAAGTTTGGGGTAGACCAATTCCTCCCAGACTAGGTGCTTTTTATTGGGAAGCTATCCTAGAAAAGTATAACACTTGTGACCTACTTCAAAAGAAAAGGCCTAATTGGTGTTTATCCCCGCACTGGTGCATTTTATGTAAGAAGAATGGTGAGAGCTGTTATCACTTATTAGTTTCTTGCCCCTTTGTTTCAGAAATCTAGTGTTGGTTTTTCTCTCTTTTTGGTTGCAGGTGGACCTTCCCTTCAAGTGTGCAGAACTTGTTTAGTACTACATCAGTAAGGGATTTAAAAAAGAGTGGTAAAATCTTGTGGAGATGTGCTAGAGCAGCTGTATGCTGGACTCTGTGGGAGGAAAGAAATCAAAGAACTTTTCATGAGAAAGAAAAAAGTAGGGAAGCCATCATTGAATTAATATATGTTAGGGTGGTTCACTGGGTCAAGTCTATGAAGATATTTAAAGGTTATTCAACAGGAGACATCATTCGAAAATGGAAAGAAGTGGCTTGGTCTGCCCCCTTGACTTCTTCACCTAGTCCAGCTTGGACTCCTCCAACTTCAGGATTGATTAATTGAACTTTGATGGCAGCAGTGAAGGAAACCCAGGCCCAACAGGTGTAGGTGGAGTGTTCAAGGATGAAGAAGGTCAAATTATTGTCATGTTCTCAGCACCTATAGGCTGGGGGATTCATTGAGAGCCGAAATTTTGGTAGCTCTGGAAGGGATCAAAAGAGCCCAGCAGTTGAAAATCAGAAATCTGTTGGTGGAAGGAGACTCTAGGCTGATAGTTAGCTGGTTGTAGGAGAAAGATTCTAATTTGTGAAAGTTCTCAAATGAAAAAAAGAAAATCAACCGGGTTACTCGAAACATGCAAATTCAGGTTCAGTGGGCCAAGAGGTGTGCCAATTCTCTAGCAGACTCTTTGGCCAAACAAGGGGTGGGAAGAGCAAATCTCTTTTGGGCTGTTTTGTAATCTGATCTTTAATGTTAGGGAGGGTTAAGTGTTTTTACCCCTACCTTCATATTGTATTTTTCTATAATAATTTTTCTTAATAAAAGTCACTGTTATTGTTCAAAAAAAAAGTCAAGAAAAAGCTTGGCTGTTTGGAAATAATAGCTTGGGCTGTTTGGGTGATTCCTACACATGACACGTTACTCCATTCAATTCCTTGCTTGTCTTTTTACCCATCAAACATGGTAATGCATCATATAGGGGTGTCCACGGTTCGGTAAACCAAACCATGGCCAATTTTTTGCAAACCGAACTGGTACCACCAGTTTTTCCATTTCTATAAACTAAAATCGAAACGGTACCACCGGTTAACCAGTCCACCGGTTTCGGCTTATGACCGGTTTGGTTTTTCTGTTTTTTATATCTATAATATATGTTATATAAATATATGTATAATATTATATTATAAATAATAAATGATATATAATATATTAGAAATATTAGAAAAATATATAATATATTTATAAATAGACTATTATAAATATTATATGTATATATTTATGTATAATATATAGAAAATATGTGCCGGTCGGTTCGGTTAACTGCCGGTTTTTGTAGGTTAATCGAAAACTGAACTGGTCCTTTGGTTTTTCAAAAATACCAAATCAAAACTGAACCGACCGATTCGATTAACTGCATTTTCTGGTTTAGTTTTCTCACTTCGGTTCGGTTTTTCGGTTTTTCATAGACACCCCCAAGTGCCATGCACAGGAAGCTTCCAAGCAGCCAAGGCTGTTTTTTTTCCAAACAGCAAGTTTTTCCCCATGATCTCTGCATGTCGTGTAAATGCATCTAATGGAATTCTATGTGACAACATGCTGAGTCCCTCTCTTTGCACATGGTCTTCTTCATTTTCCTTTAACTCGAGTAGAATTCCTTCACATCCATTAAAAAAATGTAAAATCCTTTCACGACATTTGGTGCGAAGTGTATCATAGAGACCACCATTTGATTCTACTACCTGGAATATCTGGGCCAAATGTTGACCTGATCAACCTATGCATGCAAAATTACCGACTTATTAGGCAAGTGGCTTTTGTTGGATGTTCCTGTGTAGTTGATTAAATTAATAAGAAAGGAAGGTCTTCAATTTAATTTAAACACCATACGAGTTGGGTCTTCTGACTGGATTGCTCATTTGTGTAGAAGTGATCCCTACGTAGAACCCATTGAGTAATGGTCCTGAGGTTACTTAAAATTTGCCTCGTGCACAACTTGGGGGAGTTCTCTATTCTCCATGCTGAAATTGGTTTTCTGCTGATTCAAATTAGTAAGTTTGTTTTGGGCCATCGTCATCATCATCATTAGTTCGTTTTTTGTTTAATCAGGAAAACTCAAATTGGTTACACGGTTTGAGCAGGTTCATGGAGCATTTGCTGGATATAGTGGCATTACAGTGGGCATATGCAATACTCTCTATGTCTACCTTCCAATTCCTGAAATTTCTTACTCCAGGCAAGTGGATCCTAACAGTCGCATGTGGCATCATTACTTGACATTGATTTGCCAACCGGACTTGATAACAAGGTTCATATATTCATGGGGAAATCTTTTAAAATGCCCCTAAGTTTTAGGAAATGGACTAAAAACTTCTCTACTGTTTGCAGAATCTCTTAAAGACTTAAATTTTCTGACAATTGACTAAATATCAATGTTGTTAAAATTTTACGATTTACAATATGATTCATGATTTGAATCATGAATCCCGATGGTTTCAATTTGAATCTTATGTCTGAATCCTTTTCTGCAAAAATCTTATGATTTTTGTTTGAATCCTATGATTTGAATAATAAATCTTACGATTTATACAATTCTTGGGATTTGAATGAATTCAATTAAGAATAAATTCTCTACTTTGTCATTTTATTGTGAATATTTAGTTTTTTGAAAGGTGACTTGTTCTAAATACCTTATTAGAAGTTGACTTATTTATGTTATTTAAAACCATATATTGAATTTATTTTCAACATATGTAGGATAAAGAGTCATCATATGTGGATTATTTAACTTTCAACTCAAATTTGATTATATCATCGTAGACTTCTATTGTATAAGTGGTAAATTCTATTGATTTAGGTACATACATGGTAGATATAGACTAAAAAGCAGGTAGAATCTATATTTTGTCTTTTAGTATATCTATATTTTATTTTTTACAAGTTTTTAAAAAATAGAAATAATCTTATAGTTTATGATATGATTCACGATTCAATTCAATTCAATTTTCTCTACTATTTACGATGCAATTACGATTTTCACAACATTGCTAAATATTTTCTTGCTGTTAGCGTCATTACAAGTTGAAAGTTTCATCTTCAAAGTGCATGAAAAGTTGTATAGTTTTTCTAAATCCCTGTTTTACCCTTTTGCGGTTGAAACTTGAAAATGCCCTTCTATGCTCAAAAGTTCTACAGAACTTTTTCCACATGAAAAGTTTCATCTTCAAATCTTCCATTCTTGTTAAAATCCACATAAAAATGTTGGTGATAGAATTATTTTTCTAGATGGGTTTCTTTTTAATTTCAATTGATAGAAAATACTATTGTTCTTCCATTATTCTTGAATGTCCTGCAAATATGAGAAGTCGGGTCTAATAGAAACAGATGTATCATGTAATAGAAATAACAATAAAAATTAATTGGATATTAAATGATTTTTTAAGAAATGGAAAAAGGATATGGGAATAGGGAGGTGATGGCCCGACCCGGCCCGGCCTGCACCCCGGTCGGGCTTGGTCATGTAATTAGGCCCATGGGCCTGACCTTGGGCCTGACACAGTAAGCCCGACTGTGTTTTGGGCCGGGCTCGGGATTTGTCAAAAAAGTCCGGCTCAAGCCCGGTCCGACCCGACTCAGCATTATATATTTTATATATTATATAAAATATATAAATAATATAATTTTATTAAAATATATATTTATAATTTAATATATACATTTTTTATTATTTTCTTTATAATTTCTCTCTCTCTCTATTCAGCCACTTCAACAGTAGTAACAATATGAGCTAAATTTTGGACTTGGGCCCAGGCCCGGGCTTTGGGCTTTTTATGAGGGTCAGGCTCGGGCCCAAGTTGTAGGTCCGATGGTCGAGCCGGGCTCGGGCTCGAGTCTTTGAAAAATCTGTTAATACAGAGTGAAAACCCGGCCCGACCCATGAACAGGTTTAATTGTAACAAGAAGACAGCAGTGACAACATTGCGATTTTGAATTCTTCTTTGTGAGGACAATGACTCATCTCCCATTTCAGCTGATGAAATCTTTTTCAACGTTTGGATTTGATCAATCTTAACAACTTCAACCATGATCTTCTTTTTGTTGACGGCCAAGACGATTATTTCAAGGCTCCAAATCCCTTTTCTATTTGACTCACTTTGATAAAGTTATTGATTGATGAACGGGATTCTAATCTTCCGCGATCATGTTTATCCAAAGTCAATGAACTTGAATGAATATTGGCCCATACTTATTGTGTTTGGACACCAAAATTGGTTCAAATACTGTTGAATAGATATAAGAAGAACAACCAGACTGGATCTTCCGAGCATTGACTCGTAATAGAACTCCATTGCTTTGTTTTCTTTGACTCATAATAGCAACCCACGTTGAAGCAACAGTAACGGTAAGCATGGTTTTTAAAACTGAACTGGTCAGGGGTTTGGTTGCTGGTTTGAACGGTCCGACTGTTCGACTCAAATGGCTGGCCCGTTTTGACAAAAAAAATAAAAGAATTTTAAAAAAATTGAAAAACGGTCAAAACTGTTCGAATGATTAACCAGCCGGTTTAGCGGTTTGCTGACCAAAATCAACGATTTTAGAAGAAAAATGGAACCAGTCAGGTAACCGGTTCTCGGTTTTTCCAGTCTGACCATCTGGTCCGATCCGGTTTTGAAAAGAATGACGGGTAAGGGTATATTTGTTTTCTTTGACTCATAATAGCAACTCTTCCAGGAAGAAAGAAGACAAACCTAAGATTCCAAAGGATGACATATAGACGTTTGTGCAAGGGGAATAGTGCCCACAGTAATTCCTCTTGCTCTATCAACCTTCCCACGTAAATGCAGAAAATGCTTCAATCAGGCATCAGGAAGGTGTTGAAACTTTTTACAGTAGTAGCACTCCATTGCTTTGGATGGGCTCAATCTTGTGTCTAAATCTTTGAGAGAAACAAGCATTCTACCAATGAAACCCGATACACTACATGCTGAGTAGGATACATGGAAATATTAAAGAGGTTACTAAAATAAGACCAAACTTTAGAAGCCATATCTCCAGTACACTTGGAAGCCAAATAGACACCTCTTCACGTTATGATCTCATCAACTAGAATAGCACCATGCATTAATCTCCACATAAAAATAGCTATTTTAATTGATCCATCATCTTGAATTCAGGAAATTGTAAATATACCAAGGGCAAAATCTATGATGCATGAACTGCATAATGAAGAAAAAAACGTGAACCAGTGATAAAATGACACATCATAGGTGAGATCTTTAAATGCTTTTAAAGTCTTGATGGCAACTATTCCTTTTGAAACATGAATGTATATCTTTTGAAATGTGAACCAATGAAAAATAGACCATGGAATGTGTTTAATGTGATTTGTTGAAATCTTAATTTTAACATGCAGCAAATATTCATAAATGCAGTATAGTTGGATTCTAAAACTAAAATACAGAAAATCCATAAAATGGAATGATGGCTTCCTTCCTAGTTTTCATGTCATGGATTAGGGCTGTTCATGGGTTGGGTTGGGTGGGTTTATTGGCGATTTCCCAACCGACCCAACCTGATCGGTTTACCTAAAAATGAAACTGAAATCGACCATGTACCAAGTAAAACCGGTCTGGTCGGTTTGGGTCAGTTTTGTTAATGATTCTCTCGGTGTGAACAGTAAAGGATTCAAGTCTAAGAAGCGAAGGCTGGATACTTGGAAATTAAAAATGATTTGATGGATTAAAGCTGAAATTATATATATATTATATAATATCT